CCTCCATATCTCCTAAACCCTAAATTTCGATCCTTAGCATTCATTTTGTGTCTTTGAGCTCTTGAGAAGAAAACTCGGTGCTTTATTGCTCATTTTTAAGGGATAGAAGATTATTGAAGGTTCATTGCTTAGTGTGAAGCTTAGAGATCCAAAATTATCACTCCTTTTGCAAGTCATTTAAGGTATAAATATCTTATCTTGACAACTTCTCTTATGGATCTTCTTTTGGACTTGTTTTTGGCTATTTTAGTCCCTTTGGTTGGTCCTTGTGAGCTAGGGTCGTTTCAGAAGCCTAACCTTGTAGATATGGGCATTTTAGGGTCCTATTGTCCATTTATTAAGCTCTTTTGAGCTCTAAGAGCCTCATTAAGCTATGCATGCACATAAAGTTAGCAACTTTACGTGATAAACCATCTTAAGGAAGTCACATCTAAGTTTTGGGGTGAAGTCTTAACCATTTAAGAGTTGAATGAGAAAGTTGGCCAATCTGGTTGAGTACCTTGGCATACAAGCTGGTACGCGCAGCGTACAAGCCCTTTATCGAATACGTTTAGCGAACAGGATGAGTACGCCCCGCGTACTCAGCAGTGGGCTTCGGTGTTATGGGCTTCTCGATATTGGGCCATAGTTGTCTTGGGCCTTGTTGGGCCATCAGGATTCAACTGTTGGGCTGTAGATATTTTATTGGACTTTGGTTGAAGTCCCATGAAAGAGATTTGGGCCCAAATTGGAAAATTGGGCCATAATTGGGCTTAAGGTGTTTATTTTGGAATTTGGGCTTTTGGACAATTGGATTGGGCCTATTCTTTGGGTCAAGTTAGGTAAATGGGTAAAAAGGTCTTTTACCCTAGTTTAGACTCTTAGTGTGAATTGGGATCCAATTATTAATTGGATGTTATTTATGTTGATAGTTCGGGGATTCTCGGACCAGCTGCCAGAGATTTATCAGTTTAATTCAGCAATTTGATGTGAGTTTCCTCACTATGTTTAGCGGGCCGAAGGCACCAATGTCGGCCCATGATCTGTTATGCCAGAATACTAGATGTTTGTGTGAATCTTGTATGTGTATGTGCTTGTATGCTTACTGGGTGGGGCCCAGTGATTATTTTGTATGCTATGATCAGTTATGCTTATATGATTTGTATGTGGGCGTGGACCGTTATGCGAGTTTGGGTGGGGCCCGTTACACTCTTTGGGCAATATGTTGGGGAACTCACTAAGCTTTGTGCTTACGGTTTTCAGTTTATGTTTCAGGTACTTCTGGTTCCAAAGGGAAGAGCTCGGGATGATTGCAGAGTATACACCACCTCGTTCTGCACTTTATGATTTACTATGATATGATATGATGATTGATAAATTTGTTTTATCTGGATTTTTATGATGATGTGTATGGGATATTGGTTTTATTAATTTAAAAATGAAAAAAATTTGGGTCTTATTTCGAGACGTTACAACAAATATGATACAACTGGGGGATAGTTCTCGCATCTCTTACATTTCCCAGAACAAACCTATAACTGTCTTCCACTGCTTTGAAATCACCTACCCCCAGCGAAACTTTTCTCACAAATTCCCCCTGTTGTTGTCTTGCTTCCACCGTTTTTCCTTGAAGAACCCTAGCATAAAAAACCCCATGCATAGGAATTGTCACATGCATGTTTACACCCCCGTTGGATCCCTGCGATACTTGCTCTGTTTTTTAAAACATTTTTTTATCCCTACTAAACTTGGCGATCGACAAATGTGGTAGTTCCCGACCCAAATCTCAGCTAGATTTTCTTCTAATCTCTTGATGTCCATCGCATTCAAATACCTTACAAAAGAAAACCTCCGCCTTCTCTTTGATAATTTCTAGGCAATATACACATCCACTACCTTCCCATATACTTCGAATGTCTTCCATAATCTCTTCTTATAAAATCATAAAAATCCTTAGGGAAATTGGTCACAAAGAATGTCACAGATAACTTCTCGGCACTGCTGTGATTATTTCCTTTCCCCTGTACAGACTTATTTCCAATTTTCCACTCATAATCTTTGTACTTCATCATCAAAAATCATTGAGGTCATAAGGTTGCGTTTAGTTACGGAAAAACAGTTTTCATTTTCCGTTTTTCGTTTTCCCTTTTCTGTTTTCGTTTTTCGTTTTCATTTTTCATTGGAAAATTTAGAAAACGCGTTTAGTTAAAACTTATTCATTTTTCATTTTCAGTTTTAGAAAATCAGAACGCGTTTTGATGTGTATTTTTCTATCGGTTTTCATTTTTAGAAAACGGTAGCGATGGTAGGGTGGGGGTGGGGCGGCGGTGGTAGCGGGTCGACAACCATGGTGGTGATGACAGGCGGTTGTGGTGGCAATGGCAATTGTGGAAGTGATGGTGATGGTGATGGTGATGGTGATGGTGATGGCGGCGGTGGTGGCGGTGGTGGCGGTGGTGGTGGTGGTGGTGACGGGGTAGTGGTGGTGATGGTAGGTTTATGGTAATGGTGTTGGGTGGGTGGGTGTGTCTGTGTGTGTTTGTGGGGGTGTGTGTGTCTGTTTGTGTGTATGTGTGTGTTCGTAGGGGCGGGGGCGTGGTTTGGATGTGTGTGTGTGTGTGGGGGGGGGGGGGGGGGGGGGCTTGGGAGTGGGAGTAGGTGGGTGTGGGTAAGTAGGGGTGTGGTGGGTTGGGGGTGTTAAGGTGGGGTAGGTAGAGGTGGATGGGTTGGGAGTGGATGTGTGTTTATATTTTAGAAAAATTTTGGAATTAGAAAAATATAGAAAACAATGATTATCAATTTTCCAAAGAATTTCAACTTCTTTATAATTTTAGAAAACGGAAAATTTTATTTTTCGTGAAAATTTTAGAAAAATAGACGAACGAAACTCGTTTTCAAAATTCTCATTTTTCTTAGAAAAAATTTCCGGAAAACGGCTCATTTTTCCGCAACTAAACGTAACCTATATAATTTGATCGGAATCGCCATCATATTCAGTTTAATAAATTTATTATAATAACAAATATCGATTATTCTACTTAATTGTGTATTTAATTGTGTATGTAAATATTTGGAGGCATATCTCCCTATATTGTTAGAGTTGATAAAGTATTGGGCTCGACAATGCATGTAGCATCTCCCAAGCTTGAGGCTCACTTTTGGTAGTGATTAGGATTTAGGCCTAAGCCCTTTAGGGTTTAGGTTAGACCTAATCTGACTCCTCTAGCAGATTGTAACGTTTGTGTTTGTATGATTATAAAGCTTTAAATTGAAGTATGGGGAGAACTTGCAATTAGATTAGGATCCTATAGAGTCTTGCCATTGACAACCGTACATGCAAGGCACAGTTTATTTACGAATCCATTTTTACCAAGTGATTGTAGTCGTAACAATTATTTACAAGAATGATGTAGTTTGAAAAATATTTACAAAAAGGTTGTAAAAATGTATTCCACGTCATATATATTTTTATATTAAAAAAAATCTTAAACAGTTGGACCCATATCTATCCATCTTTTTCTCCCTTCCTATGCTACTCGCCGTTTTTCTTGTCCGCCGGAGCTAAAGATCAACCGTCTTCATCCTTGCTGTTAAAGAGCTCTTTGCACAATGGGTCTTCACCTTTGTCTCCGTCTCCACCTTCCTATTTCTTCAGTTATTAAGTTGCCGGCTACACCCCCCCCCCTGTCCCGTCGGCGGTGGTTCTCTCCCACCTGTCCTCTTTCACAGGTCAGTTGTTCTTTGATATGCATATGTAACACTATCAGTCTTCTTCACCCCATTTGCGACCTGGTTTTCTTTTGTATCAAGAAGCACAAAAAATTCAAAGATTTGTTGGCATTTCAGGAGATACACAACTATTTTGTAATCACCCATTTGTGATCTGGTTTTCATTTTTGATTAAGAAGTAGAAAAAATCGAAGATTGGAGAGCAATTCATATTTTCAGGCGATGTTTTTTTACGATTTCTGCATACACAAATGCTATAACCGAACCAGGTGGATTTTATCGGAAATTTAGTCAATTTAGAACATCATCATCGGAAAAATTTCCCAGTTCACATAAATATAGATTCATGGAAGGTTTCCAATCACAAATTTATTGTCTCAAACTTTTATCACCATTTCAAACGAAAGAATTTGTGGTCAATCTTGCTCGTTTCTTTGAAAACTTCCCAAAAGCTAGATCTATTTTGTGCTATTTGGAGGAAGAACGAGACAGCATAAGAGGTCGGTAAAGGAGAACCTTCGAATTCCGATTGGAAGAACAGATGGGGAAGATGGTGCAAAAGCAGCAATACTCGCTGATAACTTTTTAGGAGGAAAAAACGGGAGGGGAAGGGTATATTGGGAATATGGGGTCATCAAAAAGCTAATTAACTATGTTTCAGTAATTAAATTTAAAAGCACAAGACATTAGTAAATATTTTTTAAAAACACAATTACCTATATATACTTTAAATACATAATATATTATGTCAAAATGTTACACTCGATACTAAATAACTAAATAACTAAATAACAAAATAACTTTCTCTAACTTTTTTTTTCTGGAATTACGAAAATCATGCTTTATCATCGTCGATTCATCTTTGTCGCTTTTGAATATATGATTCCACATTGTGGAACTCTTAGACATTTCCCAAAACTTTGGAATTTCACAAGCCTTTTTCCAAATCTAAAAGAATCCCGCAGCTTTTGTCCTTATTTCATAAGTTTTAAGCATTTTGTAAAGGGCTTCTTTGCAAAACAGAGCCCCATTTTTTTTATCTGTCAAAACAGTGGCCAAATTATTATATGGGCCTTCCTAGTTTGATCATTTTTGTGATTAACCCAAAACTAAAATTATTTAATATCCATAACTTCAATATACTATTTTTTGAGCTATCAAAATCTTATTTTTATTAATATCATAACAATAATGAATTTGAAGACATACACACGAGCATTCAACATGATCCATGACTCCTTAATATGTCAGTATTGATTATAAAGATATATATTTACCATTAAACCAGTATGTTATGTAGAGATTGAGCAAAGTAAGGTTTGAAGAATGTTGGGGCTGAGGTTGTGGAGAGATGTAATCTGAGCAATTAGTTTGGCAATTAGCCCAATTACACGATCCATGTATATAATGTAAAGCCCGCATCTGCTTTCCAACAGTTGAAGTCCTTTTCGAGCATGGAGGATTGAAGTCACCCACTCTTCTAACAACTCTATATTATAGTATGATATTATAATAAACAAATCAATGGAAATAAGCTGCAATTTCTAACATTTGACCCTAAAAGATAATATCTTACCTTTTCCCCCAAAAAAAAAAATCCACTTCTAATTTTTTAAACTTGTACCTAGTACTTATCAAATTCAAATTTAAGATAAAGTCGTCTAGTGTTGTCAACTTGAAAATGCTTCTACACAATTTTTTTATTAATTTGAATTTATATATATTGTATTTGCTATTTATCAGTCAAATTTGGACTCTTTTCAATGAAAATGAGTAAGTGACTCTTAAAATTAAGCGCATGTAGTCAGCATGATGAAAATGCATGCATACCTGAAGCAAATCCATCTGTCTTTGACCAACTTATAAGGTAATCTGATACCAAAAATTCAATAAGTTGGATCCTGTGAATTACAAAGTAAACATATTCACAACCCAAATAATATTCTTGCTAAGTTATACAAGTGTCATAAGTATCAACATTGCACATGAGAATCAAGAAGCATATCATGTTGCATTCAATAAGTCGGGTTTTTTTTATGTATTATCAGCAATTTAGTTTTGTAAATAGGGGTCAAACCTGCCAAAACACAAAATTCTTACACATATGGACTGTTTTCAAAAAAAAAAAAACTTTACAGGGACCTTTTCTATAAATTAAAAAATTATAGGGACTAAATCTGCCAATATGTAAAACCTTTGTTGCAGGGACTAAATCTGCCAAAATATAAAACCTTTGTTGCAGGGACTAAATGTGCAATAATGTAAAAGTTTTGTGTCAAAACTCTGAAAAAAGAAAACTCTATTGTTCCTAATAAGGGCTATGTGATTTAATAATATATATAATAATAAAGATTGGTAGCCTATGTATATATATTATATTATTTGTGTGTTATAGCATCCTACTTTTCATTTCTTCCTATTAATTACAACATTGTTTTTTCATTTTCTTTTCCTTATTAGGGCATTGTATGATAGCATAGGTATACTTTTCAAGGAACAATGTTGTAATAAGAAAAAAAAAATGAAAGTACGATGCTATAATAAACAAATCAAATGAAAGTATGTTGCTATTTCTTGCATTATCAATTCCCAAGAGGAGTCTACATATGATAACAAATGTAGCACACATAGAAGTAGAACAAGAGGATTGTTAGAAAGTAAGGGAGGTTAAAGTTTATTACTTACAAAATGTAGAGACTGGTATGCATTTCAAAAAAAGCTGAATCAAATGGATCAAGAAACAGCAAATTTTCTGAGAGTAAAGAGATTCTTTGAGAAACTGCAAGAATCACTCGTTGTCCAACACATGATTCACTCCCAAGCTTACGAAGCAAATGCTGAACATGGAACTGGGCATCAGTTTCAAACTGATGATGAGTTTCTGAAACAGAATTATTAGATAAAAGAGACTCAATCAGAAAGACATAGCTTCAAGAAAAATATTACAATTTCAGAAAGATGATTTAACAAAGATATGAAATAATAAATGTATCCATAGATGCCTGATAATCTGATATATGAATGCATATTTCAATTTACCATTTCCTTGTGATGTGGTGCACATTTTTTTAACCAAACGTAGTGACAAGTTGCCAACAATTCCTTCAACATGTTGGATACTTGTTCCCTTGGACAAAATATTCTTGATTGCATCTTCATGGAAAAGACAAAGAGATGATCATAAGAATAGAGCATAGATTTTAAATGGAAATATGCAGGAGAGTGAGACAGGTTTTATTATATACTTCAAAATGAAACAAGAAAGAGATACCCAAAATGAAGTCTACAGCTTGGTGTGACCAGTTAGCAAAATTAGTATCATCTGGCTGCAACAATAACAGAAGCAGAAAAAGGCTGAAGATAAGACTTTACCACATAATTAGTAGAATAAGAAGAATGGAAAATGGGAAGATTCAATTAATTAGCAAAACACTCTTACAGAAGAAAGAGTATCACATAACTCCACAAGAAAATCAACTGAAGCCCTAAGCTGTTCAACTTCCTCAGCATTATCCTCTGTAAATGCAAACGGTATACAAATTCAAGTTATAAGATAATACAAAGCTAAATGACATACGGAAGCCCTAACTTATGAACATTTGTTTGAATGATAATAGAATTGATCTATACCAGACCAAAATGATCGTTGTGTGGAACCCTCGCTTCTTCTTTTTCTTCTTTCCTTCAGTCTCACTGCAGCAACAAAAATTCTTATACAAAAGATCTAATTCTGACACACATACAACACAACGAACCAATTACATATTTGTAAAACCTTGTCTAAGAAATCTACGGCGTAAGACATCATTGAATCCCCCGTCAAATCCCTCTCCTGATAGCTGATTAGGGTTCAATTTCCCTAAATTTTCAAAGAAATAGCATTTACAGGATACACTCCCCGCGAATAATTCATGATGTAGTCCATCTGCATAAGAAACAAAATGAGCGTTAGATAGAACACTTACATTATACGCATATAGAGAAGAGAAAAAGAAACCTTCAACTTCTTCGAGATTTTTTTTGAGTCTGAAAATCTCTTGTTTGCGCTCTTTCGCCTGCGGAGATTTACAAAGAGAATTGCTAAATTTTGACCTCGTCCTCACGATGTATTAATAATTTTGGTTGGAATTCTACATTAATTCGAAGTTAACTTCGAATCAGTTGATGAATGGGATATGAGGAAATGTACCTTTCGTTTCCACTTGATAGCATCAGAACTCGAGGTAGCGGATGGAGGATGAAGAGTTGCAGAAGGTTTCTTCAGGAATTTGGAACGAAGAAGAGCTATGGCAATGGCGAGCTTCAACGATTCGTCTGAACCGGCGGTGGTTTCCGACGCCATCCCCCCCTCTTTAGCTTCCAGCAGATGCGCGGGAGCTCTACAGTTATACCAACGACTAATCTTCAATTGAAACCCCGTCCCTTCTAATTGTTTATTTTATTTAATGTAGACGTATTCACACCGCGCAGTTTAAAAATACGACGTCAGAATATAGTTTTCAGTCGATTCATCTAAGTTTTTTTATTATTATTATATTTAATGTTTTCCTTTAACTATGTTAAAAAGTATATATTGAATTTTATTTAAACATTATTTAATATTTCACTTAAGGTTTTAAATTTTACACTAAATTTTTAAGTTTATTTGATGTATTACTGTAGATTATTCATTTAACTATATATTGAAGTTAACAAATTAAGTATATCATATTGATAAGTCACAAATTCTTCCATTTATGATAATGTTTACAACTAAAAACATATTTAAGTTAATAAATTAAGCATATTGTATGGAAATATGAAAAGTTGGGAGTTTCAAATGAATGTGATGAAAGAAAAAATGATTCATTTATAATGGTTACAACTAAAAACATATTTAAGTTAATAAATTAAGCATATTGTATGGAAATATGAAAAGTTGGGAGTTTCAAATGAATGTGGTGAAAGAAAAAATAATTCATTTATAATATAGTATGATATGATGATTATAGTTTTAATTTTTAAGTCATTGTGATATATAAAATTATTTGATAATTTTATAAACTGTTTAAAATTGTGTAAATTATATATCAAACGTATGATAATCTATATATAACGGGTAACAAAATGTATGAACAAAAATATGAACTACAACTTTTAGTAACATAAAAATACAAAAACATCTATTATAACATTTGTATTAAAAAAGATATATATACAACGAATAATAAAAAATATGAAAAATAAACACTACAACTTTAAACACTAAAACATTTATTATAACATTTTTATTAACTTTTCATATTTAAATCACAAATCTCTTCATATACATTAATGTTTTTAATGAGCAAAACTTTACAACCTTAGAAAAGAAAGGAAAATAAAAAGTTATTATTGATTATTAATTAATAATCATAAGTTAAAAACTCTTGAGTTGTAACTAATAAATATACATAAATTAGAAAACTCTTGAGTTGTAGTGTGAGTTTCAAATGAATACGCTACTTGCAAATGTGTATTTATTATTATTATTATTGTTATTATTATTATTATTATTATTATTATTATATTCGTCTAAGTAATTGGTTTTGATGCGTCATTTTAATCCCTTCAATTATTAAACATAAAGATATTTAATTATAAATTTATAACATACATAGGTGCATATATATGTTAAACAAATCACATATAATATATATTTTCGTAAATGTCATATGTAATTTTTGTCGTAGTAATATGGATAAATTACTTTCATATGAAGAACATATCATGATAAGTCATCATAATTACATATCAAATGTTAAAAATTATGTTATCTTTTAAATATTGTCTTGTAAATATGTTGTGTAGGATAACCCAACAAAAAAATAATAGAAAATAAACATAATCAAAATAGAAAAAATACAATCAAATAAATAAGAACATTTGGTGATTGAATATATAAATAAAAATGTTACATAAATATACGTTTAAATCAAAAGAAAAAACTAACATTCGTCTACTTTGCTCAAACAAAAAACAACCTATATCCGTTTTCTGAATCTTCTTTCTTTATATATAACGGGCAACAAAATGTATGAACAAAAATATGAACTACAACTTTTAGTAACATAAAAATACAAAAACATCTAATATAACATTTGTATTAAAAAAGATATATATATACAACGAATAATAAAAAATATGAAAAATAAACACTACAACTTTTAATAACATAAAAACACTAAAACATTTATTATAACTTTTCATATTTAAATCACAAATCTCTTCAAATACATTAATGTTTTTAATGTGCAAAACTTTACAACCTTTTAAAAGAAAGGAAAAATAAAAAGTTATTAGTGATTACTAATTAATAATCATAAGTTAAAAACTCTTGAGTTGTAACTAATAAATATATACATAAATTAGAAAACTCTTGAGTTGTAGTGTGAGTTTCAAATGAATACGCTACTTGGAAATGTGTATTTATATTATTATTATTATTATTATTATTATTATTATTATTATTTTATTCGTCTAAATAATTGGTTTTGATGCATCATTTTAATCCCTTCAATTATTAAACATAAATATATTTAATTATAAGTTTATAACATACATAGGTGCATATATATGTTAAACAAATCACATATAATATATATTTTCGTAAATGTCATATGTAATTTTTGTCGTAGTAATATGGATAAATTACTTTCATATGAAGAACATATCATGATAAGTCATCATAATTACATATCAAATGTTAAAAATTATGTTATCTTTTAAATATTGTCTTGTAAATATGTTGTGTAGGATAACCCAACAAAAAAATAATAGAAAATAAACATAATCAAAATAGGAAAGCTACAATCAAATAAATAAAAACATTGGGTGGTTGAATATATAAATAAAAATGTTACATAAATATACGTTTAAATCAAAAGAAAAAACTAACATTCGTCTACTTTGCTCAAACAAAAAACAACTTATATCCGTTTTCTGAATCTTCTTTCTTTATTTAACACCATTCAACCATAGAAACTTGATGACAATTCTTCACTAACCTGCAATCAAAATGTTTTTCTTGAAAAAGAAGAATGAGAAAGATATTCCAAGCATAACATTGATGTTTGGAGAGTCACATTCAAGATTGAGTAGTACATACAAATCACATATAAAAATCAAATGAGAAATTGAATATAAAGAAAGAATAGAAAAGCTTCATTTGTTTTGGTTGAAAGAAAAAAATCATATTACAATTACCATCGATGCGACATAATCCATTTCTTCAAATCATCATATTTGGATCGTGAATGCTTCAACTATATGAAAACTTTTGAATCATAATATCTTCAACCAAATGACAACTTTTTGTAAGAAAAATGTACTAATATAACTACATATATAATGAAGGTGAAAGGGTGTGGGGGTTTCAAATGCATGAGGTGTTGAACTTATAGAGTGTGTGATTTTTCTTGGAATGAGATTATATGTGATTAATTACTTTGAAGGTGAAAGGGTGTGGGGTTTCAAATGCACGATGTGTTGACAAATTTTTATGGGGGTTTCAAATTTTTATGAGGGTTTCAAATGCATGAGATTTAAGAAAAATGTTAGCTTTATAAGTATGTATGATAGGGCAAATGATATAAAAGCACGTGAGTTTTTTAAAAAATATAGGTTTTATTTTTGGACATGTTTAATTTGTTTATTTATATCTTTTTAGTCGGTTTTCAGGTCACTTACGGGTTATTAGATACCATTAAAGCACTTAAGTTTTCAAAAATGTTCAAATTTACTCTTAAGTTTTCTAAAATGTTCGGATTTACTATTAATTTGGTTATTATTATTATTATTATTATTATTATTATTATTATTATGTTTTTAAATGTATAAAAATATTTTACACATACATTTTTTAAATGTATAAAAATAATTTTATTGATATAAATATATTTTTTTAAAATATTGTAACGACCATAAAACTCGAACCAATTTAAAACATTTTATTTCATTTCAAAACCATTAAGTTCATACATCTTGTTTTCAAAATAGTTTAAACATCAGAGTATCCCCAGAACCACATCACATAAATCATAAAACATGAGGAGCGGTATGATCACGCCTTCGCCTTGCCACGATCTCCTGAAGTACCTGAAACAATAAACTGCAACTGTAAGCCCGAAAGCTTAGTGAGTTCCCCCAAAGTACCCATACACACATAAACATACATACAATAAAGAACAACATGCTATGGGTCCAATCAACCTTCCGGTTGGAATACCCCTGGCCCTCAACCTTCGAGTTGGAATGCCAACATACTACGAGCCCAATCATCCTACCGGGATGGAATACTCTCGGCCCACAACCATCAGGTTAGAATGCCCATACACATATACATACAACTACAACTACTATGGGTCCAATCATCTCGCAAGATGGAATACCCCAGGCCCCTCAACCATCGGGTTGGAATGTCAATCTACTATGAGTCCAATCATCCTACCTGGATGGAATACTCCTGGCCCACAACCATCGGGTTGGAATGCCCCACCTCCTATCATACAATAACAACTACCATGGGTCCAATCATCCCTCAGGATGGAATACCCTAGGCCCCTCAACCATCGGGTTGGAATGCCAACCTACTATGAGTCTAATCATCCTATCTGGATGGAATACTCCTGGCCCACAACCATCGGGTTGGAATGCCCCTATACTAGCAACATGTATACATAACAGGCAACCACATAACATTCTACTAAATCAACATACTAGGGCCCTATCATCCTACCGGGACGGAATACCCTCTGCTACGACTCAACATGCATATCCCACGGGTAACCTCCTACCAGCGTACATAAGGCAAGACCAACTACAGGTCTATACTCATAACCACTACCCAACTACCAGGGTGCTGATCCAACAGAACTAGCCATCACTTAGCTATCATATCCTCTAGGATACTAAGCTAACAAAGCATATCCTCATATCATTATCCTGTCTACCAGGATACTAGCAAGCATATCATCACAAAACATAACAAGCTCTAAACCACAATTCAAAGGGCCGGCCTTGGTGCCTTAAACCCTTGAGTACAGTGAGGATAACTCACCTGAAACGAAAAACCGAACAACGAAGGTACACACCCGAAGCACTGCTCCAAACTCCAACACATATTGCCATCAATGGACCATTGACATAAATAACCAATTTACCATAATACCCTCGGGGTCAAAATCAAAGTCCTGGCCAAAGTCATCCTTCCTGACTGACTCTACTCGCCGAGTCAACCCGTTGACTCGTCGAGTCCTTATACTCTGAAAACTCTTAGAACACGACTCAACTCGCCGAGTCACCCCAAGACTCGTCGAGTCCAACGATCTCCGAGTCCCATCCTACTCAACTCACAGATTCACCTCCCGACTCACTGCTTCGAGGTTAACTAGAAGAGATTGGGGTTTTACGACCAGACTCGTCGAGTCCAAGAACAGACTCGCCGAGTCCAAGGCAATCTTCAACAGACTCGCCGCGTTGTTCTTCCAACTCGCAGAGTCCATGCTCATGTTCATACAACTCGCCGAGTACACCCATGTGACTCGCCGAGTCTCACCAGTTCTCAATCCATACAGTGGCTTTTCGAGCCATGCAGGGGCTCCAATCCATAGATCCACTCTTCTACAGTCTAACCCCTACGTAAAGTGGCAAACTTTACGTGAAACCAAGGAGTTATAGGCCCAAAACACTCTAAGGCTAGGGTTTATGAAAAAGGGGCATCACCAATCACTCAATGACATAAGCTTTATGGCATTCTGGATCATTACAAGCCTAGATCTGAGGTAGCAACCTCAGATCTAAACTCCAACCTCGAAATAACTCTCAATCATACCAAAAATGCCCCAAATCTCACACATAGGATAGATCTAATTGCAATAGAGCCAAAACAGCAGCTTATTACCTCAAGGACGACCTCCCACTGAGGAATAATCCAAATCTCTGCAAATCCCCTTGATCCAAGCTTCTTGATCTTCAAGATCTCTTCACCAAAACCACTTATCTAGGCTCCAATTTGCTTCCAAGGGCTCTCACTCACGATTTAGGGTTTCTGGATCTCAAAAGGGTAGTAAAGAAGCTGAGGGAGGGATATAATGGTCTTTATATAGGGCCCAACCCCCGGGATTAGGGTTTTTCTCTCTTCAGCACCAACTCGTCGAGTCCCAGCCGCCGACTCGGCGAGTTGGCCACTTAAACCGCGACAGAATCCCGCTCCGACTCGGCGAGTAAGCGGGCCTACTCGTCGAGTCCCTTTCCTTAATTTACAATTTAAGCCCTTCAATGATACTTTTGGAATTTGGGATGTTACAAATATGTGTACTTGTATTTAGTATTTATATATTTGAAAGCCTATGTATTTCTTTAGAAACGCATATATATATTAGAAATATATTTATTTGTATTTAGTAGGTATAAATATATATTTATTTCATATGAAAACATATTGTATAAATATAAATATAAAAATATTTATTTATAAGGTTTATATTGTATAAAAGATATATTTATATGTATTTGTACATATTACTAAGTATAGATATGTATTTATTTCATATTTATATGGTAAAATACATATAAACGAAATATTTTTTTATTCTTTGGGTGATTCATCAACCAAAACACAATATATATATATATATATATATATATATATATATATATATATATATATATATATATATATATATATGTGTGTGTGTGTGTGTGTGTGTGTGTGCTTACTAACTATAAATATGTATTTATTTCATATTTATATGTATACGATAGTTTTTATACAAAATAAATACATATTCATATCTATTAAGAACAAATAAAAATATTTTTATATGTAAAATATGTTTTTAAATGTATAAATATTTTTTATTTGTATTTAATAGAGATATTTATTTGTATTTAATAGATATAAATATGTATTTATTTTATATTAAAAGGATCGTATACATATGAATATGGAATAAATACATATTTATACTTGGTAACCAAACACCAAAAACTTTTTTTTTTGTTTTGGTTGATCACCCAAAGAATTACAATAAATACATCGGCGGATCCACAATAGATCCCGAGGTATCCCGGGATACCCCTCAAAAAAAATTCGGTAGTATAATTTTTTTAGAAAAATTTCGTTTTATTTAGTGTACATATGTATAATATTAATACGTTTAGGGAGATAATAACACAAGATGAAATTTGTTCAGATGGTTAAGGTGTTAAGGGATGTTTCTAGAGGTTGCAAGTTCAAATCTTCTTGCAAACATTTATTTTCTCAGCTCCTTTTATATAGCTTTATACAGATTATATCTATTATATTATGATATTGTGAAAATTAAGCACAAGTATTGAGTTGTCCAAGTGGTAAAGTGTTGAACTTTTAAGTTTGAGGTCTCTATTTCGAATCTTGGCTGTTACATTGGTGTATTTTATTTTGTTTATCAAAATTTCAACTTGTTTTTAAAATTTTAAAATTGTCCCACATCGGTCATAACATGAAACATAGCTCATATACATCTGTTATAAACTTTTGAATGAAATTGGGTTTAAACCCGAAACCGAGTTTGGAAAACCCATAAATCGAACCCGGTTTGGGATACCCATTTACTTTGAACCTGGCTCCGTCACTGTGCCTATAGCTCTTCGATAACGAATATCTTTTTCATCAAATTTTATAAATTCTTTTTTCTGCCTTACAGTAATCGAAAATGGTTATGCTTTTCCTACCTGCATGAAATGATAAGGATATATTATTTGCATCATAAAAATCTGGTCCTGCTGAAATGATAAGGATATATTATTTGCATCATTTTTTAAACCATCTTGATATAAAAAGATAAAAATTGGGTTGGAGATGGTCTTAACCCTCGTTTAGAATTTTGGTGATAACCCTCGTTTACATTTTAGTTGTCTTTGCTAACTTCCCTTGTAATAAAATTGAAACACATCGTAATACTCCATTTATTTTTAAGATAGTGTTTGAAAACGCAATGGAAACAACACACATTTTAGTGATTTACCACAAACATACATCTTAAAAACAAATTAAACGTCAATTGCATAAAAAAGTGTTGGCAGCTTTCACTTTTGTTCATGTTAAGGCTTAATTTTTTAAACCAAAATTACACAAATTCTACATTAGAAAATAAAAGCTAAAATGTATTCTTCAACTGATTGAACTAAAACAAAATTAATTCATCAACTAGGTAAGATTTCTTGAAAGTTAAAACTTTCAGGCTGAAATGCACCCAAAACCAATCATAAGAAAACAATTGAGATTTCAATAAAATACAACAGTTCCTTTTATGAACTTTCAAGTCTCAACAATAATCAAATTTAACTCGAAAGTCACAAAAAACTAAAACATAAAACAAAAATTAAGAAAAACTCAAAATTCATGGCAACATTCGTCCACCTTTTTTTGTTTCCAAACACATAACAACTATGCCTATCATAACCCCTCAACAAAAACATCATCGATTATACAGACTCACCTGTCATGTCATGTGGTTTCATTTCACAGACCTAGAACAGCCTCTCACACGCCGCCACATCAGCCGCCTGTGCCTCCAAAATCCCACTCCCAACAACCCCTTTCACACCCATGAAAACCAACTTCTGAAAATAGTCATCCTCCATACACTTCAAAACATCCCCCACCACCTTGAAATCCAACCCACCAGACACCACCAAATGGCCCATCATCTCACCAAAATTGCCAGGTGCTTTTGGCAAATCAATCGCGATGTCATCCAGCAACGAACCGTAGGCGGTGCACCCAGCGGTCAAGTCGGCTCGAGTCAGAACCTTTTTGGAAACAAGATGGTCCAACAGCTTCACCAACGGTTCCACACACGGTGCGCTTTTCTCCAATGCTAACGAAACCGCTTCCTTCACAAACTCAGGGTAATATTCCGGTGCTTTGAGCTCCTCCACACACTGTAGAGCCTCATCAAGCATCCGCACACTAAAATATTCCTCCAGAAGCGAAACCGTTTTCCTCTTCAACTCATCAGGATTCTTCACCTTCACCGGAGCAGCAGCAACCGGAGCCGGAGCCGGAGCCGGTTTCGCTGGAGATACAGGAACAGGAGTAGTGGCACCACCACCACCGCCGCTGCCCTGCAACAGGGCGCTTGATTTGCCGCTAATGAAACCGCCGGAGCCTTGTGGGAGAAATCTTTGAGTTGGTGATGGTGTTTTGTTGAGTAAAGGTTGTTGTTGAACACCACCTCTAGGCATGTTGCGGGACCTCTGAACCTCCCAGTTATCGTTTTCTAAACCGGGTGTTCCGGGCATCATGCGGGGCCCGGGAGACATCCCGGGTGTTCCGGGCATTAAACCGCCTGCCCCCGGGCGGTTGAAACCACCGCCGCCGCCTCCTTGTGCTCCGGCAGCCAACGCGCGGCTGTTTCGGATACTCGCGGTTGAACCGGGGCGGAGTCGCATGTTCTTCTCCGCTTCCGTGTGAATCTCGGTTATAGTCTTGGCTTTCACCTTAAGAACAAGATCCAACATTAATGATCTATTTGTTCGGATGGAATGGAATGGAAGAATGGAATGGAATGGGTGATTACCTCTTCGCGCCTTGGAATCCAGTTGTTTGATCTGAGATCGATGACATCACGAACCATGAACCTCATTCGTGGAGCTAGTTGTTGGTTTGTGGTGAGCTCTTTGAGTCGGTTGAAATAAAGATCATTAATGCGCCTTGATTTAAGACTCTCGTCTAGTTGTTTGCCAATGGTGTTAAAGAATTGGCATATTGCTTCTACGTTTTCCTCCTCTGGACAAATTTTATTGTCTGATCCTAAAAGCTCCTGTCATGTCATGTCAAATTCACCATAATAAGAAAAATAGTGAAAGTAGAAAATTAGAAAATTAGAAATGGAAGTAGATGAATAGTGAAACCTGAACAATGTGATGCACGATCTTTTCAGGGACCATTTTCTGCTTCAAAAGCTCACCAATAAGTTTGATGTTTCCAAGTGTGCGAAGTTTAATCATTCGTTCTTTGTCTCTGCGTTCAGATTCTTGTTCAGGGGCATTCATCTGTCTTATTTCTGACCTCAGTTTGTCAGCACCTTCAAATGCCTCTTGACAATTATTTAACAAAACACGTTTGAATGTAATCTCCTTTCCATCAGGTTCATCAGATGGAAATGGTGGAAGCTTTGTATTAAGATCTGAACACAGTTGAGCATACATTGGGCAAAAAGTTGGCTCAAGAACAGCCTTGTCAAATATCAACGAGATAACCCCCTAAAAATTCCATAAACAACCACCATATTGTTATTAATTTGTTATGTGATATATAAAGAAAATATACATATACAAAATACACACAAACCTTGAGAATATCAGCTGTTGTGATTCCTGAGTCGATGAGTTGACCTTTGAGGAGGTCAAACTTTTCCGGGGTCAACTTGTTCAGAATACTGAAAATCAAAAGGTATAATGATAATCTGAATAAATGGATTATGAATTTTCAAGTTGAGTTTTTTACTAGTTTACCCTTTTACAGTCTTCAAGACACGATCCTTATCAGATAAAGTCCCCCTCCGAACTGACCAGGGCACCTCAGCTTTGACAAGAGCAGGAGCAGGACCCTGTTTTCAAAAAATAGCAATATACTTTCAATCATTTGTTCATTAAAGTACAATTTTGTAAAAGAAATGAAAGTAGGATGTTATAATACACAAATGAATGAAACTAAGAAATCCATTGTCAATAACATATAACAATATAGAAGAAAGATTTAATTTACAAACTCACCCCTTGGTTAGGAGAAGCCTGTGATCTACCAAACTGTGAGTTGGAATCTTGCCTATTGTACTGATTCCCATCAGACCGGCCACCAAAGTCTCTGTTGTCTCTACCGGAATCCCAAGACCGCTCCTCCACAGGAGGCGGTGCTCTTCCACGCCAGTCCCGGTTGTCAGGCTCAGAGTAGCGTGGCTGAGCTGGAACTGCCACCTGTAAATAAATAAACCATTCTTGCAAAATTAGAATTCATTTTTCACAAATAAAAAACAATAGCACATTGGCTCTGGCTCACAGTGCCTAAGGATGAGGAGGGCATTAACGTCTTTTGCAAGTTTGTCATAAAGTTACCGTTTTTGTCATATTGACATAAAGTCCATGTCACACCTTTTTTGATTAGACAAAAAGTAACCGTTTTTGTCCCATTGACATTGATGTGACAAAAAGTTGCAATTTTTGTCACTTTGACATTCGTCCTCCTTTTTTTGATGGGACAAAAAGTTGCAATTTTTGTTATATTGACATCAGAGTCTAATGCATGCAAAACACAGTAAAGGGTTGTTTATGGTATAAAGATGATATGAAAGGTTTGGTGCTTACAGTTCCTTCAGATTTGGTCCAGTTTTGGGCCTCCCCAAAAAATTCAGTTTCCACTTCTTGTTTGACTTTAAGTATCTCCTCGGGTATATCTACAACCTACCACCAAATAAAAAACAGACTTAATGTGTATCAAAAACCGACATTAAATCAGTGTTAACACAATTAGAAGACAAAAAAGAAGCTTAAATGCAGTGTTTAATGCATTACCTCCCTGAGTTGTAACAGCTGATCTCTGGTGTAACGAACACGTTCACGAAGCTCGAATCGGGAATCATTGTTCTAAAATAAGAGAAAAATTAATGAATTTAAAAGTTAATATTGAGGCTATTGAAAGAAAAAGATCAAGGAATTATATGTACCAAATTGCCAATAGCAAACATATTAGTAAAATAACTCTGTTACATTACATTGACAATCTTTAACTACCAAAAACTCATTAAGATATCTATGCTCAATACCCACTTGCCAAATTACTCAACATGTTGAGTGGAATGTATAGAATTATACTTGCTTCCATAGGAAATTATCAATTACTTGAGTAAAAGGAATGTCTGAAACTAATTATCAGTAGAAGAATGTTTTCAAATGTTAGAAAGACTATATATATTGTTAATAATTGTCGAAATACAGATATTATCTAGTTCTGAAAAAAGAATGTGTCTGTGATGAATTCAAGGTACCTTCCAATGAAAATCATAAAAAGGGTAATGAGCATCGCATATGCGAACACAATTTCAGTGGGTTTCTCTATCGGAATCTAATTCTCATGTAGCTTACAGAGCATATTAAATATCTTAAATTACTGTTTCCAAAAACCTTAGTCCCAAAATTAATCCTATTAAACGTCAATCATAGACATTCTTTCTCAGATCCCTGTTTGCCACAAACCACATATCAGAGGTCAATCAAAGAAAATCTTGAATCGATAAGGTACACTTTCAGTTTGATTTAAACTAACATAAGTCGCTGCTCATGCATCGGAGATCGAAATATATACACAATATTCACGTATCAACAAAATAGACAATACATGAGACTGAGGACTAGATAAGTATAAACAAAACAGATATCAACTAGATGAGGGGAAAAAATCAACTAAATACCCACAAAGATGAGGTTCAAAGAAATACAAAGCCCAGATCCAATTAGAGTTAAACCAAAGTAACAACCTTGAAGGCGGCAAGAGATGGAACGCCAGCACCGCCATGAGGTCGAAGGGCAGGAAGATCAGAAGAACCGAAAGCCAACGAATCAAAGCGAGGGCCAGAAGTTCTTCCTCGATTTCCACCACCAGGTCTCAAGCTCAACGCCGTCTGATCAGCCTGCATACCTCGATTGTTTCTATCTTTTGCTCAAATCGAACAAAAAGCTTAAAGTTGAATCGGCGATTGACGAACACAGCTAAAGTAAGTAAAATCAAGATTCAAACAAATCTTGATATATATGAAAGATAGGGTTTTCTGTAGGGATAGATGGAGAAAAAGAGAGATTAGGGAAGGAGCTTTCTCTCGCCTGGAGGAAGTGAGAGAAAGAAAAAAGAGGAGAGAGAGAAACCCTTTAACTTGGTGGTGCGATACTGCGCATCGTATTTAGACTATTTTATACTCGAAAATTTCCCCCATTTTGTGTACTTTTTTGGTTTTCAAAGGATGATAATTGTATTTAATATGTTTATAACTCCTTCTTCTTCAAGTACAAAGGACACCTTCTAACTTTGTGAAATCGTTATCTTAGTCCCTATATTTATTTGTATTTTTCACTCTTTATGTAGGGTTTGTAGTATGGATGCAAATTTGATTTGTATGTTCGTATACTAGTAGGGAGCCGATCTTAATAGGATTGGGCTTCTTTTTTTGATGGGTAACGGGATGGAGATTTTGTGATGATCCAACAGATCGACTAGTTGTTTTGTGATGATGATTTTGATTAGTGAGATGTTGAAAGGCTCGTCTGGTTCGGTTCAACCCATCATCATAGATAATCATGATAAGTAGTAGAAAATATGTTGATCTCTTTCCAAGTCCACTCCCCTATTTTATCCTTGTCAATATGTATCCCTTACTTTGATCTATTTTCTGAATTATTAGTATTGTCCCCCGTGCATTATTTCCTTTGTGAGGAAATACATTCCTCTTTAGGAGCATTATGATATGCAACTCAAATGGTCTCTTATGAAGTCTCTATTGTTCGGGGATTTGTTTTCATATATGAAATGGATACGAGGTGGGGACGGGTATGACACTATTTTCCCCCATGATTATTGTTTATATTTTTAAGATTTTTTGTTTTTTTTAAATACTAAATGGGTACCCCCAAATGTTCCCCGTAACCTATTGGGATTCTTCCTTTGTACCCGTCGGGGATTAGGTTAGGCGGAGACATGATGGATATAAATGTTATGGGTCGGTACAAGGATATGGATTGTATTCCCCGCCAATTTCCCATCTCGTTTCCGTCCCTAGTTTTTATCACTCTCTTATGGATATAAAAGTAAAACATAATTAGGGTTGGTCTGTTAGATTATGTTAGGATCAAATTGATTTGTTAAGCTATTTGGGATTAGATTTATACCAAAAAAAAAATTATTTAACTAAATATGTTGATGTTTTCAACTTTGATATGTTAGAATAATAGGTTTACCATAGGTTGATTCATTTTTTTCTTAATCTAACATGTAAGATAAATGGGTTAAATATAGGTCGGATCATTTAATCTCAAAGTTACATGATAAAAAAATAATTAAAATGTAAACCCAAATAAATATCTAATTGGATAATTGTCAAACAACGGTTACTTATTCAATTATTCCACAATTTAAAATTGTTATATAAGGATTAACTTCATTATACAAGAGTACACAAAACAATTAGATTAATTGTAATTGAGTTTTATGTGTATGAAATTCACAGTAAAGAGCTTTCAATTTATGTATTTATGAAGGTGGTTTTCACATTTTTTGTAATTCTAATTCTAGAATTTTAGTAATTGCTCTTGCATTTGATTTTATTCATATCAATGAATTAATTCATATTCAAAAAATTTGTTAAACTTTTACGTTATTGAAACCCCTCCCCTCCACGAACTATAATCGATTTGGGACCTACAAGTGGTCTTAAAATAGTTTCCATGTTTGTTGTTACATTTATGAAAAGTTTTAAACACTCATGTTATCTATCATTTATTAAGCAACGGCTAACCAAACATCTTTTCCCTCACAGTTTATGAGAAAATTTTAGCAAAACAATATTTCCATGTGGACTACAATATGTTTCAAATCATTAAAGATGATCCTGAACATGCCAGAATCAAAATAAAAATTTTCATTTTCCAAATCAGAATAAACCATTGTTTTTTTTAAAAGAACATAACAAAATCAAGTATAAACTACAAATATCTCAAGATCAGTGTATCATAAATCTCCAAGAACATGACATAGAAGGATGTGTACGATAACGCCTTTGTCTTGCCACGATCATTTAAAGTACCTAAAACATGAGACTAAAAACCGTAAGCCAAAGCTTATTGAGTTCCCCCAAAGTACCACCACACAAACATATAACAACATACATACTGGGTCCACAACTAACAGACTGGATTACCCCTGAGTCCACAACATGAGTCTGGCTTGCCTTCCGGCCCACAACTTATGGTTGGCTTACTCATGAGCCCACAACATAAGTCTGGCTTGCCACTCGGGCACACAGCTTATGTCTGGCTTTCTCCCCGGTTTGTTGGCTTTCGCACAAAGCAGATGCGCCTCAACCCAACCAAACTATGTAGACATATACATATCAGATAACATATATCCAGTAAACAGATAATCATATAACCAGTCAATAGACTAACAGACACATCTACAAATCACTATCACATAACAATATCCTATATACCCAAACTCAGTCCTAACATATCAATACAACATATCAACATCCTCAAAACCAGGATACATAACCCAGTGGGCCAGAATTGTTGTCTTCGGCCCACGAGTACAATGAGGAAAACTCACTTCTGAGTCTGAACAGATAGTTGAATAGGTCACTGCTCCGAATATCAGCTCTACCAGTCACATATACATCAAATAATGACCAATCTCAAATACAACTCAAAATACCCAAAATACCCTTAGGTCAAACTTGGTCAAATCCTACACAAAGTCAAAAATCAAAGAACTCAACTCAGCTAAGTACGCCCAACGTACTCAGCTTGTACGCACGGCATACTAGAGCATTGACCAAAAACGGGTTGTTGACCTGGTACATGCAGCATACCATAGCATACGCCCAACGTACGCACCCGCCATCGTTTCTTCTGTTAAGGGCTTAATCCCTTAAGCCCTTTCGTCCAAAATATAGATCTAGTCCTCAAATGATGTCCTTAATCATAAAGTTTCCAACTTTATGATCTTGCATGGCTATTAAGTGCTCAATACCAAAAACCCCAACTTCTTAACTCATCAAGACATCATAGTCCATGCATGGAATGCAACTAAGGTCCAAGATTACATTTTTATGACTCTACACGCTCCAAAACGTCTGAAAGGACAACTCATATGATTTAGAGTAACCCATACTTATATTACCAATCTTATGGGACCAAAATGAAAACAAATACATGGCTAACAAGATATAAATGAAAACTTCATCAAGGGCAGAGCTTTTTATCTCAGAGTGGTGCAAAAGGATGATGTGCTTCTGGATCCAAACTGCTCCAAGCTTCTAAGATGCTTTCCTTTCCTTCTCCTTCCTCTAAGAACACCAAAACACACACTAATGACTCAAAGATGCTCTCAAAATGGATTAGGGTTTGCAAGGGTCGAATATGAGGTTGGAGGCTAGTGAATGAAGGGAGCCTTGAGAGTTAAGGATGTATAAATAGTGCACAAACCCTAAATATTAGGGTTTTGGTCCAGGCCACGTACGCCCAACGTACGCAAGCAACCCACTTTCTCATTAAAGTGTCATGGAACCATTTTTGCAAACATTTCTCACACCAAGGGTTAAAAGTGTAGATACTTGAATATTCGGATGTTGCAATTCTCCCCCACTTGAACAAGACTTAGTCCTCGAAGTTCGCTGTTGTGAACAACTTCGGGTAGTGCTCTCACATTTGCGCCTCGGGTTCCCAAGTCCATTCGGAACCCTTCTGATGTTGCCACTGAACCTTGACCAAAGACACCACCTTATTGTGCAAGGCCTTCGTCTTCCAATCAAAGATCGCCAATGGTCCCTCCACATAATTCAGGCGATCATCAATCTGAATATCATCCAACGGAACAACTGCTGAATCATCAGCCACACACTTCCGAAGCTGAGAAACATAAAATGTGTTGTGAATCTAATTGAGGTCCTCAGGCAAATCCAACTGATAAACTACTCTGCCAACCTTGGCAATTACTCGAAACGACCCACTATATCATGGCCCTAATTTTCCCTTATTCCTGAAGCGTAATACATCCTTCCAGGGTGATACCTTCAGTAGAACCATGTCGTCGACCTGAAACTCCAACTCCGATCGACGTCTGTCAACATAACTTTTCTGTCGACTCTAAGTTGTCTGAAACATCTGTCTAATATGTTGAATAAGTTATGTCATCTAAAGGACTACCTCAGTCATTTCCATAACTCTGTGACCTACCTCCCCCCAAAAAACTGGGATACGACACTTCCTCCTATAGAAAAGCTCGAATGGTGGCGCACTGATGCTGGAGTGATAGTTGTTATTGTATGAAAACTCAACTAAGGGAACGTAGGAGTCCCAAATCCCACCAAAATCAATCAAACATGCTCGCAACATGTCCTCGAGTTTCTTGATGGTCAGTTTGCTCTGACCATCAGTATGCGGATGATAAGCAGTGCTAAAATGCAACCTCGTACCCAGTTTCTTGCAGAACCTTTTCCAAAACCGCGAGGTAAACCGAACATCCCGATCTGAAAACAATAGAAATTGGAACACCATAACGGGCGACAATCTTGCGTACATACACATTGGCCAATTTCTCGTCTGATGAACTCTCTCGAATAGCTAAGAAGAGGGCATTCTTGGTCAGACGGTCCACTATTACCCAAATCGCATCGAACCCCTTAGTCGTCTGAGGTAGCTTGGTGATGAAATCCATGGTGATCTGTTCCCATTTCCATATGGGAACCTCCAAATGTTGAAGCTTTCCATGCGGCCTCTGGTGCTCGGGCTTGACCATCCGACAGGTTAAGCACCTCTCAACATATTAAGTTATCTCCTTATTCATACACGGCCACTGGTAGTTAAGTCGTAAATCCTGAGACATCTTGGTGGTTCCAGGGTCTATCGAAAATCTGGACTTATGTGCCTCCTCCAACACAGTCTGTCTGATCCCACTAAAATCCAGGACCCAAACCCGACCACACCGGGTCAACAATCCACGGCTGTCGGTGGAAAACTTGTTAATCTTGTTGGGTTTTGAGCATTCTAACACTCCTAAGGTGTACATGCAACCCTAGAAACCTTGGATCTATGTTTGACTAAGATACATGAAAATTTGATTTTCCAAGGTTCTTCAACTATCTAACATAGCATTGGTACTTGAACATAAATGCT